ATAACCAACTTAAAACGTTTATTGCATATTATTGGACTATTTTTATGCCCTTAAGAACTAACTTCATGAGTTATCAGCGATTTGCCGGGGCTGAGGTGAAAGACAAAGCCTAGAGTATTTTTATACCAGGGACATGACAATTTGCTACCCGGTTAAAGCCCTCGCACACCTCGGAAGGCAGTGTTAGTTGAGTGTGAAGCAATGGTGGAATGCTGATTTGCGACGGAAACTGTAGGAAACACATAAAGGAATATGTTTCAGTGTCACTTCATCTACCAAATAACGCACATGGCGTTACAAGGAACTGGCCCTGTGGCTCCGCGCCAAGCTGTGGCACCTTGTGACGTCACTGCCCGGCTTATCGTGATAGAATAGGATTCAGAATTAGGAACTTTCCAGGAAAGCGCACGTCATATTTTAATACAGCACATTTTCCTCTGTATATATATATTGTGACGTCATGGCCTGGACTTCAATTGATCGGCAAGCAAGTGGATGGCTGTGATTACGTCACTGGCGCATGTCGCATGCGTACAGAAGTACGGAACAGGGTCGACCTTCGCAGGTCAACGGCCAACCAAGAATACTACTTCAACTCACTTTTCTGCATTGAAATCAAAGTTATACCAGAGACGCAAGAAAAATCTCTGAGCCCGAGAATGCTAAAGTCAGCTCCCACTGCAGAGTTTCGCTGTAGAGGCGCCGAGTGGCCATCTTGCAGCTCCTCTTCAGTTACTCGCGTATTTATACCATTCTGAGTGTCGTAATTATTTCGAGGAAAATTCCTCACTTTCTTTGCCAAGTATTATTTTCTTCCCTTTCATTTCTTCCTTTATTCGTGTATTTACGTATTTATTTATTTCCTTTAACCACAGGATTCATTAAAAGAAATCTGATAATAAATATGGGGCAGTGGTTGCAACTACAGTATATTGTGGAAGGAAGGAAGGGTGACGTACTGTAACAAAGACCTCTGCATTCCCTCTCCCCTCCACACACATATACATACATGCACGCACCCTGAGATCCTTATCTCAGCGGACTCGACTAAACCCACAGCACAATCTGCCGAGAAGGGCCAGCTCTAAAAGTAGGGTAAATGTAAGGGAAAGCTGTCCCTGTAACTGGCCATGAAGGCCCATAGGGTTGTGAGACATCGAGGTTCCCACACTTTCTAGACGTTCTAGACCAGGCATGTCAAACTCAACTTGTACAGAGGGCCACCTCAGCCCTATAAATAATAGTCCAGGGCCGCACTTCAAAATAGAAATATACATTAGATTTTGATAGAAGGAAATTTAATTCTATTTATTATTTAGGAATAATTTCAATATAATTACCTAAAGTCAATATCTTACAGTTTTAAAAAGCAAGAGAATGCCATTTTTGACAAGTATCAAACAGCTTTTCAGTATGTAAAAAGAGAGATTACACAAGAAATTATGTTAGAAATAGCAAAACATTGAATTTCCTGCAGCCAGCTAATTTATGTCTGCGTGAGACTTCTTGTCTTCTGATCTGTTGGAAAATTGTCTTTACAAAAAAAATATTTCTACTAAAATTTTAATATTCATTTTAATATCAATTAGCTCTAAAAGTTGAGGGGCCGCACTTTGTGGCTATGAGGGCCTCATGTTTGACATAGCTGTTCTAGACAATCGCCTCACCGATGGCGGTGAGGTTGTCAGCCTTACGCTGAGTCGACAACAGGAAATTAGTGGGGCTGGAAGGATTAGGTCAATTGAAAAAATCCACCTCATCGGGATTCGATCCCGCGACCTTTCGGCTTGTAGTATAGTGCCTCAACCAACTACGCTACCGCGTCCCCATGCACGATTGCCACATATTTGGGGAAAAAATATTTCAGAATTGCATTTGCTCTGCAAAAACCTGAGCTACAAATACACACTGAATGAGTAAACGGCAGTGTCCTCGATCAAGAGCTAATGGTTGTAAATAGCTTATAGGTCTATTATACATTTCAGTTTATATGTTACATCTGCTGCATATCACAGTCTAAAAAAAACAAATTAGCGATGTGTAGATATGAACATTTAAGCAGATCAGTCTAGATATATCATTACACTCGTGAGGACTGACTGCACAATATTTCACACTCGATTAACACAAGGCGCATCAGAGTACCTAATTTCCCGTGAAATCGATTTATGTGTATGTACAAACTGCATGTTTACGCGCTGCTTGCAATAAGTGCCTCAAATGAACGCATAGTGAGTTGTATCAGTCTGTCTGTCCACAAGTTTTATTTCCAAAAAATTAGCCTACTTTCATTCTTTCAAAATAAGAAAAAGTAGGCTAACAAGAAATTCTGGGAAGAACACATCGGTAGGCCTGCAATTATACAGGCTGAACGTCGCATTTCCCTCAGTTATGCTTACAAATATAAATTTATACTACATGTTAAAGGTTGCATTTTCAATTACGTCTACGCTCATAAAATTGTACGACAGGTTAAAAGCTACGTTTCCAATTACGCTCATAGATACGAGTACATACTACACGTAATTGTAAGGTGTGCAAAGTTACATCCAATTGGTATTGCTATTATAAAGCTATTGAGATAGTAATATCTTTCTCATACCTGTTTTCATAGTAACTAAATGCAAATTTGGAGCATGTCCTCTAACTATACTGCAACAGAATGCAAAAGTTTCCGATGTCAGAATGGTAACCAGCTCTAGATGTCGTTTGCAGAAGCCAATAGTCACTCAGACCGCCAAGAAGTTCCGCCATTTGTGGAATATGAAGATATCGTGTTCACAAAAGCCCGTCACAATATCTTCATTGTTTGACTTAACGGTTATTTATTAAGCTTTTTACTCTGTTACATGATCCACTTTCTCATGGTTGGGCCAAAGGGAACGCTGTTATAACAGAGAATTTTGAGATTTGAATAGAAATGTGTTCCTTTCAACGGACTGCTCCTGCACGGCATCAGATGGACGGATACAAATTTGAAAACCCCTCAGGTCTATTATCTCAGACAGGATTCTACTTCATCTGAATACAAAAGTTGCTCGCCAAATCATAACTTGTATCTACAACATGAATTATCGTTTCATATGAGATCATATCTTGTAAGCATAGGCAGCGTTACGAACTACTGCTTGATAATACGATTAGTTAAGTGGGATCATACGAAACCACGTGTTTCATCGATAAGCTCAGATACACCAATATATAAGCAGTGCAAACCCCCACCACCTCCACGGCCTACTTACTGTCTGGTACAGAATTCGAGCGACTGGTTGGTTTCCTGCCAGCTCAATAAACAGTATCCAGTGTTCCTTGATACTTGATTTAATCACCCTTACAACATTTAATGAAGCGCCGGGGTAGCTCAATCCCTACAGCGAGTAGCCTAAGGGGCTCTACAACCGAGGAATCGGGGTTTGATTTCCGGCAGGAAATTTCCACAGCGTCCAGACAGGCTCTGGGAGCCATCCAACTTTCTATACAATGGATAATATGGGGTATTTTCCGGGAGAAAATCGGCCAGGTCCTGAAGCTCACCATTAAACTTCATCTAATGCCTATGTCAAGAAAGTGTGGAGCTATACCTCGATCCCAAAATTATCTTCATGCTTAATTAGAGACAGGTACAACTTTACTTTTACTTTACCTTTATAATGTTTGGTGAATATTACAAATTACGTAGTTCCACGTTATATAATTTTCTCTTTGCTGCCATCACTCTTTCTCAGGTCCATAATACAGTGATAATTCTCAGCTCAACAACGGCAAGTATTCACTGAAACTGCATGTCAACAAAAGTTGGTATGTGTACCAGTTCATACTGGTTAGAAAATCCTTAAGTAGAAGTGTAGGATTTCTTGTTCAGCCAACTACCAACACTTCAAGAAACAATTTAAACTACACAATTTGTTAGTCATTTCCTTTTGTTTAATGTACTGAATTCCAGCATGTACTCTCCTGACTTCTTGGTGCTGTTACTTCCTGAAAATAAATATCACCTTTCAATAATTAACGTTAAAATATATTAATATAAACTTGCACTCTTCTTCACATACTATCAGGTTACAAAATCAAGCAGCCTAAGACAGTCAGGACAGGCACCATGCAAAGGAAAGTGGAAAATGCTACACAATTTTAATAACAAAACCTGAAGGGAAGAGACTGGGTGGACTTTCTTTGCAGCTGTGTAACTATTATCCTCTTAATAAGGGCCCATCTCTATAGAGATAGCGAGAGAAATAGTATTTAAGGGTGTGGACTGAATCCAGCGGGCTAAGGACAGAGACAAGTGGTGGGCTCTCGTGAATGTGGTACTGAACCTATGGGTTCCCTAAAAATCAGGGAATTTCTTGACAGAATGACTGCTGGTTCCGAAGGGATGACTTTGCTCAATGGACATAATGAGTGGGTTACTTCAGTCAGATACGAAAACTAGCATTTAAAAAGCTTTAGTTGAAAGGATCCATTGCACGTTATCTTAGTCCAGATGTAATCAGAAGATTCCTCTCAAATATAAAAACGATTTTGAAAGCATATCATGCACGCTTAACAAGCACGTTCTGAAGGAGGAATTAAAAATATCATGTTAACATTATATTTATTTCCAAAATATCAGTACCTGTCCACCAGACTACATTTCAGAATACAGTACTGCCATGATAATTCCAGATCTCACACAATATACGTATGTTCCACAAAACAATAGCCAAAATTTAGGAGATTCTCAGATAGATAATTCTATGTGAGAAGTGCACTACCATTATATGTCTGAGTCTCTTCTGTTACAAAGCTTCAAGCATTTTAGTGTTTCACATTTAAGTTCTTACCAACAATTTTCAACCTGGATGAATCATGGCAGACAGTTAAGAGTACAACCCCATTACCTCTTAATACCAGATTGACTCATAAATACCTCCACCTGTATAACAATAAATGAATTCAAAGTACATCAATTTGATAGCATCTGTAACTTGTTATTCAGACTGTACTGTTTTATGTTGCAGTCGCTGTAAGTGCTACTAGCTGCAGTGTGAGAATGCCGGAACAGTCCAACGACTATCGCGTTGTGGTGTTTGGAGCAGGTGGTGTAGGGAAGAGCTCCTTGGTGCTTCGGTTTGTGAAGGGGACATTTCGAGAATCATACATCCCCACCATTGAAGACACATACCGCCAAGTAATCATTCATTCTTTACAATAACGATATTCTACTTCAGGATGTTCAGTCATATATATTTATACACCATCATACACCACCAATATTTCTATAAAATTATTATAAATTAAGTACAGTCTACTTACTTCTAACCTTATGTTTCAACCTTTCTGTTTATCTCAAGGCTATGTAAAAATAAGTATGCTGTCGGCTTACTATCTATATGTGTATACGCACATATTCAGGGCAAATTAGACTTTGCAGTTGAACTTAAAATTCATCAGCTTATACACATATAAAAATTATAAAATCACATGTATGAAATTGTAAAGTATTCAGTCACTCAGGACATTGTTCTAGCTTTGGTTCACACTTCTCATGGTATATTATTTTGAGCTTTATTCCCTGATTCATATTCATGTACTTTATGTAACATAACTTATTGTTACATAGTATATTTGGTTGTAAATATTGTATACATTAATGTTTCAGTATCTTATTATCTTACTGCAGCTTTGGTGATGTGTACTTTTATTGCAAAACATCGTCCAGTATTCCTGTTGTTGTTAACTTAGTTAGTTAGTTAGTTATTGGAGAGGGTGGGTTTCCCCATGCACTTAGACCTGTATTGGTCCACTGTGCTTCCCTCTATATCCTACCCGTACTGGTGCTTACCATCAGTCCCGCCCAGCCAGCGAGACCGGCTCTACTAGCTGAGAGGTATCTATAATGCTTTCCCCATCTACCAGAGGTATTAGAGACTGCTGTTGGGCGGGAAACGTCTGTAATTTGGCTCAGTGACCTCCTTTGGAGATATGAGGTTCTTTCACGTGCCGTAAAGCTATGACACGGGACCCACGGCTTAAAGTCCCTCCCGGAGGACTTGTTCCCTGAATTTTTCCGCCCTTAAAAATTCGACGACCCCCGCCGGGTATTTGAACCCGCCTACTACAAGTCGTGTGGTGGGAACGTTACCTCTAGACTACGGAGGCCGCTTTTGTTGTTAACTTGTGTTCATTTAAGAATCTAGCTGTTTCAGATTTTATTTATAGGGTATACTACTTTTGTTTGTAAGGGATGGATATGTTCTTTGAGGTTTTATATTTACTGGTGTCATAAGGCATTACAAAACAGTACACAGTGGATAGTTCTAATAGATTGAATTACGTTCAAATGACTATTTGTCAGATTATTAAACTAAGAGGAAGAGAATTTGCAGAAACAATATCACATACAAACAGAAACTTTCACTTCCCATATGTGGCGATGTAGAATGCCCACATGTACATGAGTAGTAAATACAATTCAATGTGTGTATAATTAATTACTAAATCACGAAACTCCTTGGCACAGTAGCATCTTTATTTTAAATTTATAGTCGCCTTCTATTATGGGTACTTCTCCAATTTTATAGGAGTACAGAGCAATGAGCAATTCTGAGATTTACAATATTAATGTTTATACAGAATTGCACTAACCACACAAATAGGTTGGAGATGAATTTGACTCTTGTAAGTTAGAGGCTTACTGAAAAATAGGCAAATGTAAAGGTAAAGTTACCCCTGTACTTAATTAAGCACAATAAAATTGAGGTCATTTGTCAGCTTCATGTCCTGACCTCTTTACCATCTGGAAAAGAGGCTGGATGGCCTCCAGAGGTGGCAAGGACCCTGTGAAGAAGAAATAATTCTTTGTTCCTGTTTATAATTGAACCGCAATCCCCTGATCATCTGACCATAGACTAGCCACTACACTGACTGAGTTCCTGGCTTCATAAAGCTGAAAGATAAACAGAAAATGCATATACTGTTACTATTCTAATAACAATCACAGATGTCACTACCTCCATGTTCTCAAATTTGATAAATAGATAGATAGTTTTTCATAATTAAAAAATCTTTCTTTTGGCATCCTGTATTTGGCACTTTCACCTCAAATTCGTTATTATTCATATCTTAATTCTTTTCGTTTTCATGACTGTTCTCATATTTAGAGCTACATTCTGGCATTATTTCACAAGTTATTTTCCACATATTTCCATCCTGTAAATCAGGAACTGCTTCATCAAATTTAGAAGGATTACAATAATTCACAATGCAAGACCTCTGTGAATGATCCCAGTCATTCCATCAATTATGTTGCACATGGTAGCAATGTTGAATAACAGATGTGATAACAGGGACTGCTATGCAACTTAGTAAATGTCTGCAACCTTTGACCTGATACCCACCCACTAAAAAGTAAGTAAAGGTATCCCTGTAACAAGCCGTGGAGACCCGTAAGGTTGTGAGATATTGAGGTTCCCACACTTTCTAGACCAAGGGTCTCCAAACTACGGCCCACAATGTGATTTTATCCAGCCCGTGAAAGAATTGTGCAGAAATGCGCCAATTGAACTAATTTTCCAATGAGTACTGGTAAATGTGATTCCGAGCTTATTGACCTGACATATTATACTGCAGTTCGATGGCTTAGCTGTGGAAAAGTTCTTTCGCGCTTCTTTCAGCTCAGGAATGAAACTGATATATTTCTTACCGAGAAAAACCATCACGAACCACTTTTATCAGATACCAAGTGGCTTTGGAAATTAGCAGTTTTGCTGATCTGGTGAACCATATGAACCATTTGAATTTAAAATTGCAGGGTGAAAATAACTTAGTCTGTGATTTATTTGCACTTATCAAGGCATTCAGAGCAAAGTTGATACTTCTGGAAAGGCAAGTGAAAAATTTTAACTTTGTTCATGTGCTATACTGTGCAGAGTTGCATAAAAAGGGTGAAGCAGAATTTCCTTCCTCGTTTGCAAATTTAGTCATTTTAGATTTGAAAGAACAATTTCGGAAGCGATTTGCTGATTTGGATTCCAGTGCTCAGGAAATTAGATTGTTTCAAAATCCGTTTGACTGTGATGCTGCAGATGTCCCAAGTCAAATTCAAATGGAAATTATTGAACTTCAGGAAAATTATCATATTAAAGACAAATACAAGGAAGGGAATTTGATTGAGTTTTATAAATTTCTGAACTCTGAGCAATTTCCAAATTTAAAGAAATTTGCTTGTAAATTTATCTTCATTTTTGGGACGACACATCTGTGTGAACAAACTTTTTTCCCAGATGAAGTACATCAAGTCGAAATACAGGGAAAATTTATCACGATGAACATTTAAAGTCGCTACTTGTGATTAGCATTTCAAAATTTGAACCTCAATTTAATCAGATTTTAAGAATGCAAAAAGAGTTCCATCATTCACATGAATTGTTTTATTATAATTTGTGATTAAAATATGTGCATTTGCTACTACTGTCTGTTGTCATTAATATACGATAATTTATTCTCATGTACTTTGTATTTAGTTTATGAAATTCTGTGCTTTCAATAAAACTCATATACCTAGAGTTATTAATTTCTCGTTTTATCCGGCCCGTTGAAAGTGCTGAATTACCTAATGTGGCCCACGGTTCGAAAAGGTTGGAGATCCCTGTTCTAGACGATCAGCTCACAGTTGGTGGTAAGGTTGTCAGCCCTATGTGCAGGCCGTCCATTCCCCACAAGAACATTCCAAGAATATTCCTGGTACTCATTTCTGTTAGAGGCTGAAGGATTAGGTAAATTGAAAAAGAAATCCAATGACCTCATTGGGATTCGATTGAAAAAGCTCAATAAAGGAGGCATTGTGCTATCCACAGGTGATCAGCTGTAACAAGAACATCTGCACACTGCAAATCACAGACACCACAGGGTCACACCAGTTTCCTGCCATGCAGAGGTTGTCCATATCCAAGGGTCATGCTTTCATACTCGTGTACTCTGTCACGTCTCGCCAGAGTCTGGAAGAACTGAGGCCAATCTGGGATGTCATACGGGAGATGAAGGGAGCTGATCTTGCCACCATTCCTGTCATGCTTGTTGGCAATAAGTGTGATGAAACAGAAAACAGAGAGGTCAGTTACTTTAGATCAAGATCATGTATATTTAATTGCAATAAAAGAAAATATATATTTGTGACCATTACACAATAATAATTTTAGAGAATATTTAGTTTCTATTACATTATTTAAAAACATATTTTCAATGCACATATGTTCACCTACCATATGGTAATTCTCCCGGCTGCCACTTGAAGCACTATCCATCATCATCATCATCATCATCATCATCATCATCCCTTATCCACGTGCCATTGCAGTAGAGGTCAACTGTGTTTGTGTGTTACAGTACATGTACCCAAAATCTTTCATCCATCAATCTGCTATGTCAGCTATGATGATTCCTATGCAAGAACTAAAATGAAAACATGCTGTTTTGATTTTGTGTCGGGTTTCTGTAATAGTTCTCCCCATGCAACTGGCAGATTAGTGTAACCAGTAAACCTTATCCCCTTATATGCCAGATGATGGAGAGTTTAGTGTAATTGGAAACTGATTATGGAAGAAATTCTGAGACAGTGTTTTAAGAACTTGCAGGCATTCAAATTCCACATGTGCACAAATTCTACACAATGAAAACATTAGTTCATATGATTTTTCACTTAAGTTCAACTTGCCTCTTTATTCATGCAGGGTTAAAGACAGAAGTACCAAGTGCTGTTATTACAACTCATGGAAAAACATTGATCACTTCAGAATCCTGAGTTGGAGCTAAATTTAATTTATCCTTATTCCCCATTTCTTGAGATTTAAAGATTTTATTATTGTAAAAATTCTAGTCTATGACAGTTAGTAAACAGTGTCACAACCCAGAAGACCATGCTATACACTTCTTTCTTGCTTCCCAATTACTGAGCTAGACCAGTGCATGACATATATGCCATGCTAATTAATTAAGTTGAGTTAGTCTGTTTCTAATATTTATATCTCTATTGTGTAGTATTATATGTATGAAGAAGTGTATATATATATATATATGTATATATACCTTTTTTTTTTTCCTTGGCACTACAGCCGCAGTGGGCCTAGGCCTACCGCCATGAACTTCTCTGTTCACTTCGGTTTTTCTAGATCTTACACATTCGGTAGGACTCCTTGGGTAGGTGATCAGTTCATCGCAAGGCCTCTACCTGTACACGAACACAGAAAAATGCACACAAACATCCATGCCCTGAGTGAGATTCGAACCCACGATCCCGGTTTCCAAGCGAGTGAAGACAGTACCACTCGGCTACCGTGACTTGCCATAATATATATATATATATTGTAACGTGTTTGCAATCCAGAAGAGTCACTGCTATGGTAACGCTAGAATAGACCGTTACAGAGGAGACAACAATTGCTCCATTGTAGTTCTAACAGGAGTCTCCATGGTTATAACAGAGGGTTCGTTGCCTAACAGCGGCCAAGGTTATAAAATCCCAGCTTCGACGAGAAGTCAGTCTTCATCGAGCCAGCTAAGAAGCCAGTCGTGATCGAGCCATCTTGGGAGCCAGTCTTGGGATAACCGCCAGAAGAGATAGTCCAGCATCGCCGAGTTATTGTAAGCAGTGATTGTGACACTGCAGACGGGAATGATTGTAAAGTGTGTAAGACGAGCGAAGGAATAAACTCGCTATGCCAAACGACGGCGTGAACTTATTTGTAGCGTGACAGACAAGCAAACACGCTACATTGGTGTCAGAAGTGGGATTAGAACTTACACATGTGATCAACGAGATTCGAACTCAAAACACGCTACATTGGTGTCAGAAGTGTTACGAACTTAAACACGCCAGTAACAGATTGTTGTGCATCTAGTATTTCACTGCTACAACATGGACATGGAAAAGATGATGGAAATGTTGGCAAGAATTGACGCCAACGTGAAATCTAACCAAATAAAGGCGGAAGCCAGACACAAAGAGCTGATGGCCGATTGGAAAGCCTGGGGGGAAGAGAGGAGAACTTCCCACAAGAAAATAGTGCCCGAAACGGATGAAGAGCCGACCTCCGTAGAAACGAAACCTGAGGCGGCAGAGCATCGAGGAGTCCCCGTAGAAGACGCCCTGAGAATACCGGTCGGAGAACCGAAGAAAAGGCGTAGAGACCAGAAACTGGCCGCGGAGCGCCGCCGCCAGAAAGCAAAGAATTCAACGCGGGCAACTGGCGAACCCCAGAAGGAATTGGCCATCACAAGCAGGAAGACATCCCGTCGCGCGACAGTGGCACGACGTTGGAGAAACGACTCCAAGGAGGAAGCTTCCAAGGGAACCTTCGGATGCCAGCGGAAGAAGTTGGCCGCCGCCAGCAGGAAGATGTCCCGCCGTGTGACAGTGGCATGGCGCAAGAGTAACATCTTCAGGAGATCGACGACCCAAGGGAATTGTGAACCGTGGCACGAATTGGCTGCGATAGGATTATCACCAGTCGTGCAGGTGCGACACGGCGCAAGGAAAAATTAGGAAAGAAATACTCAATCGGGGTTAATGCTGAACGATGGTGGAAGTACCCTGCATGCAGCACCGGCATAAAGGACAGATGTCTGAAACAGGGACTACGGGTCAGCAAACAAGTGGAGGACCCCACTACGAACGCCATCGGAGGGCGTAGACTAGGACAGCTACCACGCCTGGGAGGGAGAAATACCTGTAAGACGGCCTTCTACGAGATTGTCGTCAGGAAGATCGCGAAGCAGGTAGCCGGATCTTCCGTCGGATTACGAGGAAACAAGGAATGGACATTTTGGAGGGGTAGGCCCCCTCCAAAACGGAAAAAGGGAAACGGCCCTTATGGGAGGAACCGGTAATAGAAGTACCGGCCTCCCCAACAAGAATGATTGGAGAACGAATGAATGTCAAACAAGGCAACCGACAAACTCTGGACCTTGTGGGTGCTCGGGACGAGCACAACTGAAGAGAGGGGCGGATGCGGTAAGAGGAACAGCGCAACAAGACTCGCGAAGGACACCAAGGCCGAATGCAGAAGTTGCTAGCAAAACACCGCGTAATCAAAACCGAGGGAGAACCTTGAGGCTGTTCGGGGACGAACAACCTTCAGAAGGGAGCAATGTATGTAGCGTGTTTGGTTGTCTGTCACGCTACAAATAAGTTCACGCCGTCGTTTGGCATAGCGAGTTTATTCCTTCGCTCGTCTTACAAACTTTACAATCATTCCCGTCTGCAGTGTCACAATCACTGCTTACAATAACTCGGCGATGCTGGACTATCTCTTCTGGCGGTTATCCCAAGACTGGCTCCCAAGATGGCTCGATCACGACTGGCTTCTTAGCTGGCTCGATGAAGACTGACTTCTCGTCGAAGCTGGGCTTTTATAACCTTGGCCGCTGTTAGGCAACGAACCCTCTGTTATAACCATGGAGACTCCTGTTAGAACTACAATGGAGCAATTGTTGTCTCCTCTGTAACGGTCTATTCTAGCGTTTCCATAGCAGTGACTCTTCTGGATTGCAAACACGTTACAAGATATATATATATATGTGTATATGTGTGTGTGTGTGTGAATGACATATCCCATGTCAGTAGTTTGAGTAAAAAGGGCGAATAAAAGTGAATTGAACTGAATTGTCTAGCACTTAAAATGAAGGACTAGTTAAATTATGTTCAAGGTTCCCTTGCAGTAAATTTTAATAATTCTCCTCAGTCTCCTCTAAGCGACTATCACATACTCACCATTCCTCCTCAAAGTGTATTTCAAAATTATAATTCTGTCAGCCACACTTTTCATTCACAACATCCCAAGAGCTTGCGATTTCTGAACTACACATATTTACATCACAATTATACTGTTATAGAAATCGATATTTATTCTCCGAAGTTTAACAATAATTCAGTCACATATTGTGTCCAGTAGCGTAGTAGGTTGAGGCACTACGCTACAAGCCAGAAGGTCATGGGTTCGAGTCCCGATGAGGTGGATTTTTTTCAATTGACCTAATCCTTCCAGCTTCACTATGGCCCTGGGGTTGACTCAGCCTCTAACAGAAATGAGTACCAGGAATACTCTTGGGGGTTAAGGGCGGCCGGCATGTAGGGCTGACAACTTTACTGCCATGTATGAGCCGACTGTCTAGAAAATGTGGGAACCTCAACATCTCACAACCCTATGGGCCTCCATGGCCTGTTACAGGGATACCTTTACTTTACTGTGTCCACTACCCATCCAAGACTAAGTAGATAAAAGCACAATCAAAATTATGTATGGTAAATCATTATAAGAATCATGCAGTTAATGTAGCTATAAAAAGAAGCAAGCATTTACCTAAAGAGATGTTGTACATGCCATGTAAAAGTAGCACTTAGTTTTTTAAAAATAATACTAGTTAGAAAAACAAATGTGATTAAATCTATGTTGAATAATAAGATAGGTAATTACATGCAAAGTTATGAGTATTTAATTTAAAAATCATATTCACTATATCATGCTTCTGTTGATGTCGCTATACAATTAATGTTAGATGGAAAATACAATTCTTGTCACATCTGTCCACCTTTCTTGGAATACATATTCATTCATTCATTTATTCATTGTTTCCTATTCATTCTAATCTTTACACAATTGTTTCAATCTTTGCTTCTACTGGAACAAAGCAGTTAGAGTAGGAATTTAATGAATAATGATGGAAGATATTACACAGTGAATAGTTCAAATGAACAGAACAAGGAAGTCCAAAATATTCAGTAATCCCAACTGATCTCATATCGTTTATTCACAAGGTGGCAACAACAGAGGGTGAGGCTGAGGCATCACGCTGGGGATGCAACTTCATGGAAACTTCAGCCAAAACAAACCACAATGTGAAGGAACTATTCCAGGAACTGCTCAATATGGAAAAGAACAGGAACATTTCACTTCAGCTGGACTCGAAAAAAAGCAGTCGTCAGAAACTGCCTGGCTCGAACAAGATTAAAGAAAAGTGCAGTGTCATGTGAATTAAGAGCTCAACTTGCAATATATGTTATGTTACTTCATTGGCAGCTTGTTGATGAATAACGCAGATGTGATTCTGTTTTGTACAAAATATTTGAGAGATTAAAAGTGACCAGATGCACACAGTACTGAATAGTGTCAGTTTTTGTAAGTTATGCTATGACTACATCACATAACAGCCATATTTTAAGACTGCTGGCAATACATGGGTGGTTTCCTGGCTCAAAACAACTGAAATGAATGTTACACATCTACGTATAGCTTCCAAATCTGTAGTGCAGCCAAGAATCAAGAGGGAAACTGCATGGAACTGAAGCACTTTAACTACATCAACCAAGCAGATACGAATTCATGTTCTGTGTGGGAAATTGGGTAAAATATTGGGATTTGTTATAGTTGTAAATGACAAAATACCCTTTCTTATCCTTTAATCCTCAAATGTGTAGTTTTTAAATAGCACATAAGAGCAGTGGCATGCCAATTGTGGTTACAGTTAACTAAGTACTCACAACTGAAATAGCAGTTTACAAAATAGCATAGTTAATTCTTTGCAAAAAATGTATTAAATAAATCCGTGTTGAGAGTTAGGGACCTAAACTGGGGCTCCTTTTACAATATTACAAAAACACAATCTTAGAGTAAAATCAACATAAGAGATCCAGTTGTGGCATTAATGAAGCCATGATGAGAAAGGTAACATGGAGAAATTAAAGTCCTCTGCAAGATGCATTCTTCATACTAATGGGAAATAAATAATTTTGTCATTAGAGTTTCTTTTGCAACGGAATGTCAGAGAAAAAGCAAGACATATTTTCTTAAGGTTCAGTGGATATTACAGAATCTTAATTTAACTTCACCATAGTAAGCTTTCAAAAACATTACTGTCCACTCAGGATTAGCTTCTGGGGTTCATTCATCATCTAATATTCTAAGAAAACACAATGTTTTGCACACAACACCCTCTAAACCGTTGTCATGACAACATTTCTGGCTTTCATGGCAGTTCAGCATTTAAGTCTGTCTTGCTTCTGAGTGCTGGGACAATACAAATGTAGATTGTATTGTGAGGGTTTAGGGGATCTTTGCTGTCTCCATCTTCAACTTATCCAAATGGCTCCTGCTGATAGTGATGTTCACTGATCAGCAGGAATTCTTCCATTTTATTCATTTTATGATAGCCAGTGGAAAGTGAGACAGAAAGATAGACCTCTAAAGGGCAGATCTCTTTTTGCGGGGACTGAATGAGTGGGTTTCCTGGACTTGTGCAGAATTTGTATGGGTGATGTAAGCTGGAGGAAATGTGAGTAGGAAAAAGAGAAAGAGGAGAATGGAAAAGATAAAGTCAGAAAGAGGGGCCTTTTCTTTCTCTGTAGTCCTAGAAAGGGCAGGATCAAATCGAATGATATGGAACAGAAGCATTGGGCACTGAAACAGAACCAACAGATTGAGTACAGTCAAGGCACACACTGTTTCCAATTGCTAACATTCAATAAATCAAACAGAGCAGATCTCTTGAATCAGTAGGCCCACAGTATAAGTATCAGCACAGATTGTTATGTAGTTAATTAAGTTGTTGATAGAGAGACAGCAAAGATCTCTAAAACAACAGCAATAGAACTTGCATGCTTAGAGTGCCATCAGCAATGATCCAGACTCTCCTGACAAATTATTTTCATAAACAAATGCAAGAGACTGAAGAATATTCTTGCCACTTTTTCACATCCTGCATCTAATGTGTACTTTGGCTTTAACCACATCATACATTGAAGCTGTCCAAATGTTTCGGCACATGACAGTCAACATTTTTACAACCCCCCCCCTGGAGGACACTGCAATTTACACCAGAATATTGCAACTGTTTCAACATAGGATGCAGCTAATTCCCAGAAATCTAAGTTATACATTAAACACCAATGACTCGATTACTGTTCTGTGCACTGCTGACTGAAAGTCGATCACAGCTGTAAAGCTGTGCAACTGGGACAAGCTAGTGTGACTCAAAATGGTACAATGTGATTTTACTTCATACATTGCCTCTCAAAGCTAGTTATATTTACATTAACGGATTACTAAACACTTCAGTAAATATAAGCTGAAGCAGATAAACTTTTATTCTGGAGCATTTGTCAGACAATATTACCATATCCACAGTGTCAGTATTTATTTTCACCTCTGAGCTAAATCTCCCCATTTAATAATATTACAAGAGGAGGGCTCCAATGTAAAGGATATTTTGGTAGTTACTTCATAGCCTTAGTATCCAGATCAAATCTAATGTGATTATTTATTAAACACTTATGGTTATAATATGCTACAACACTGTAAATATATAATCTCTGCATAATACATGTATAAAATAAGGAACTTATTCATGAACAATGATGTAGAACTGTTTCTACAGGTAATTAAAATTTGCTATTTTTATTGCTTGTTTTGCTACACTGTTTTTCTTTTTCTACTATGCATATGTAGTAGGGAGTGGGGAGTCTCACACGTATTTCACAGTCTCTTTGTTGAAGGAAGGTTGTGCTGTACTTCTGTGTCCTTTATGCCAATGTCACTAACCAAAATGCATGCCACTGCTATCCCAAACTTGAACTGAATTTCATAAGATAAGAAAGAGATCTGAAATTATACATTGCTAAAGGTGAATATGCAATTCTGTGAGGACCACTGTATAAATGGGAGTAGAGTATTAAATACATAATCACTTTTCTAATAAATTTCTATTAACAACTGTGGGTTCAGACACTGCTTTTCAATAGAGAAGGCATGTAAACTTCCTGTTCAGTGTGACATGGCTGACCCAGATCAGCAGTTCACAAGCAACAATTTCCATGGCCACATTCACGAACAAAAATGTTTCCATGCCACACAGTTTTAAACAATATTTTAGATGTAGATGCCCCAAAATGCATAAACAAATTCAATTACTTGATACGTATAAACAAATTTAGTTATATGTACAAAAATATTATATAAAAAACTGGAACAAAATGCATTAAATTTAGCTACTTCTAAATTTGTATTTTCTTATAATTTATAATCATAAAATCTTGATTTACTTGCATTCATGAAAACAACTGGTGGCAGTATTTCAGAATGACTGTGACCACATTTGTCTACCATGGAATCACTTGATGATCACTTATCTAAGTGTACTGTTCTGTTCACTGAAAGTTAAAACTGATTTCCATTTTTTGTCCCCAGAAAATACTGAAATTTGTATTATACAGAGAGGAGGAGGCAGATTTGAATTTTTCAGTGTACAACCGAACAACTTTCAGTAAAGGAAAGTCAAGGGCTGCTAAAAACAGACAGCTTATCACACAAAACTGACATGTCTGATACCCAAATTCTTGCTTCTCCAGGATGAGGCATCACTTAATTTCAGAACACTTTAAAGTAACAACATACCCAGCTTTAGGAACAAAGAGTATCCATTTCAGTTGTGAAAAAGAACATATGTATAAAGTAAATGAAAGACTGGACAGAATTAATACAGCATTACTTGAAATTCATAAACATTTTTGTATAAAATGCAAAGAAATTAAAAAATAATTAACCGTGTTCATGCCACAACGATATGTTTGTTGTAACAATATTAATTTTAGTTATTAAGATGTATACTTAACTGATATAGTCAACTTACTGAATATTGTAATGACAAAGACTGGCTGTGTTTGGATGTGCACATGAATGAATGAATGAATGAATGACTGAATTTACATGAATATGTGTCTGAGTAGACAGCATTTAAATAGGAGTAAGTAAAGAGATTATTTATGCTTTTTACATTCACATCATAATCTCATTTTCATTATAGTCATCAAATATAAGTTTAAGAAACAGTAAATATGAAGTTGAATTCTGTCTAGCAGTGAAAGGTTCTATGGTATATAAAAATAATAATTCATAAAGTGTGCAATAATTTTCTGAGGTCTCCTGCAGAATACAACTATTAAACTTGTAATTTACACATTATGCTTACATTTTAACAACTGGAGGGGATCTCAGGTTTTAGGTTTGGAAACTGATGGCACTGCTAATAACAGTAGTTTGTTTTTGAAGAACAGTTAATGTGTTTCTACTCCTATATTACCATTATACAAAATTTCTCTTAACTGTAGAATTTTATCTCATAATCTATGATACATTTCATGTACCTAATTCTTCTATTATACTTCTTAAATAGCTGTATTCACCTTACTCTGGTGTAACTAGAATCATATGTTGAAATATTAAGATATCATCATGATGTAATTCAAGTATAAAATCTTGGATATGCCCCAGTAATGAAATCTAATTTTGAATTGACTAAATGGAAGTTTAGGGCTTTAAATGCCATATTTTAAGAATGTAAAGTAAATAAAAAAAACACAATGGCACACTGTTTAGCAAGGATTTAAATTCATGTAACGTGAATCAGACAACGAATTTGTTACAAAACCAGGTATCAAATTAAATTATAGCTTTACACACAACTAAACAGATGAACATATACTTAAAAATATTAGAATTAATTATTGTAACGAGAATGTTAACAATACATATTTTGAAGAGCTGTACCATGGAAACTGTTACTTACAGTAAGACTGATATCCATCAACTACGAATCGATTTTCAAATAAATAAATAAATAATAATATTTACAATTGTGTAGATATATTAAACTTGCCACACAGAAATAAATTTTGAGGTAATTTTGCACAATATTCATGATGTAGTAGAGGTATCAGTTCTTTAAGTAGCAATTTTTCCTTCAAGAACCTATTTTTCCATGAGAATGCAGCTTCTAGTTTAGGATCAAATTTTCATACACATTTAATTATTCCAAAGAAACTTTATTGTGTAAATATACTATTATGTAAATAATGTATGATATTGATATCACATTCCAGACCAATTCTTGTGGATCTGAAGAACAGGGGTGCAGTATTTTCATCTAAGAAATACTTACAGACTCTACAAAAGTGTAATCCTGAGTGCAGAATCTCTTCAAATTTGGATTTGAAAATTATAATCTGGATATGAATTTTATATTCATTCATTTCATCCTAATTAATATATTTTGTTTTGATGCATTATGCAAAAATTTCCTACTTTGTAATATTATTCACCTCTA